GTTCCGCAATCTTTTGAATGTTGGTGATCTTAGTGGCAAGGCAAAGCAAGGTTTGCAAACAAAAAAATAGTAATCGTTTGTTGATGTGACTCTTTATATTTGACATGCAACATCGACTCATCTGATTCGAAAACAAACATGGTTGTGGAAGTGAAATCGATTCTTCTACAGCGACCAATTTGCGGAAATGGACATGAGGAACTGACTCATGAAAGTTCAGTGATTGATCTTCTCACAAAAATGAGCAAAGGCACGTCTTCTGGCGTGAAGTTGGGCTCGATGAGTTCCTTCACTGGCTTGATGCTTGTCGCCACCTCGGAGGATTGCATCTTAGATTCTTGCCCGAACTCCACACCAAATGGACTTCATTGACCTTCACTGGCCTTTTTGGTGTGCTTTATGTGTTTATTTTGTACAATATGTTAAACACATGCACGGCTCAACCTTTTCAAGGCGCCCCCGAAGTCTTTCTCCGAGTAGCCAATTTCGCGGGAAAGACTCCGTCGGTGAAGTCCTCAGAAAGCTGTTTGTTCGCTCGAACGCCGCATCTGCGCTCGTGAACTCTCTCATCTCATCTCATCTCATCTCATCATCCAAACACTAGCTTCTTGTTACTACTAGTAAGGCACTTGTTACTACTAGCGTGGCACTTGTTACTACTAGCTTCTTGTTACTACTCTCTCTCTCTCTTTTTCTCTCTTCAAAGAAAACGCGGAGAACAGTCGTCTCGGCGTGATTTGTACCGCCTGCAACGGTGGTGGAAAGGAGCGATAGATGCCGATGACTTGCACTCGGTCACCTGGCTTGGCCTGGAGACCGAAAATCAGGTCGAAGGTCCGTTGTTGCCGTCTTAAGCCGCTTCGCTGTTTTGGAAAAAACATGACTCTGACATGATCCAACGAAGTCGCCCAGTCGAGGGAGGGGGAGTTCGTCGATGGGAGTTCGTTAAGTGCAGATTCCATCACATTCCAATCTCGCAAGGCTCTCTCCCAAAGGTGAAATGGCACAGCTCTCCCAAACCCTTGAGGCCCAAATGAGGCAGACTCTTGAGACAGCAAACATGCATAAACGCGCGAAATGTGGCAGCCACTTGGAAGCAAGTGATTGGCCGGCGCCTTGTCACAAAGGTCACCATCACAAATGACCCTGATGCTCCTTGTCACAATTCAGGCTGAATTTGTCAAATTTTAGCAGTTTGCCAAAAGCTGGCAATGCCACAATTCACGCGCAGGCAGCCCTGATCATGCTTCACCATTATACCCAAACAACCCAAGCATCGTATGGCTCAGACATGCCTTCCGCCATGAACATCTACACAACAAAGACACAGACTGCACAGATGGTCGAAACTGCGTCCTGGGGATTTGTCCCGGCGGTGCTGTGTCAGGAGTCTCTTGGATGGTGAAATGCTGTGAGTCCTGGCGAATCTTGGAGCCACGGAAGACTAAACTGCCCTGCTTCAGGCTATCGAAAAAATATTACCTAGGAACAAAGGGCATCGCTACTAGGAGCAAGGACGCTACTAGGGGCTCCTGGCCTTACTACTAGGAGCAAGGAACAAAGGGCATCGCTACTAGAAGCAAAATACATCAGAAATGAGTGGTGGACCAAATGTCTATCTAGAGGGACCCTTTGGGGGATGGTCAGGGTCGGCGTGCTTCATCTTTCCATTCTGACGGGGCCGACCCAAACGATTTTGTCCAATCCTCAAATGATCTCGACAGTTGCTCCTTGTACATGCTAAAGGCCACATCCATCTTGAGGTCATTCCCTTCTGCGTCCTGAACGCTAGGGGAATGTGCGTTTAGGACGTTGTGTCAGCCGTCACGCAATGCTCCGTCAAGCAATGCACATGTCATCACCACCATTTCGCCTGCTTTGGCATGCCCCCGCTGTTCATCACATTCGCAACCTGTGATGTGCGCAATCATCCAAGACACTCAAGAGAGTGAGCATTGGATCAATCAAACTAGGTTCAACAAAGGCTTTCCGCACCAAGTAGTTCTCCATGTTATTCCCAAAGCTTTGGTTTGACACTCTCACAGAGGGGCAAGGCAAGGGGTGCAGCTTATTCGTATTTATCTCAATTGAAGAGAGAGAGAGAGAGAGATACAGTTCCTAGATGTGTATTGAGGGACTGACTGTACAATTTTGCGGACCCTTGCAAATTTTGTGAGCTGGATTCACATACTCCATCCCAACAGCTTGTCCCACCAAGCTAGTCGTATCTCGGTGATCACGTTGCTCGACATAGTTGTCATCCACATCCTGGTGCTCGGTGCCAGTCAAGTGTAAATCTTACATTACCGGCCCCTCAAAATCTAGCTTACACCCTGTGTCTTCTCCAGCTGCTGCCCTACTGGCTACCCACAGCCCACCCCCATTAAAAAAAAGAACAACAACTCTTGAGTTTCGAAGGCTTTGTCCAGAAATCTCCAAGATGTCTCCTTGCGCACGTGCATGGAGTACAAGAGCTTGGGCTCTGTGACCAAGCAGCGGGTCACCAAACCTTCAACGCCTCAGAGGTCTTCGGTTCTCTAAAGAGCCCACGATCTTTTTGACAGAACATGTTTTTTCAACGGTACTTTGTAGATCTGAGACTTGGGAATGACTTGGAACTTCTTTTTATCGATCAGCTAAGTTTTGTGAAGGTTTGGCAACACCCCCATCACAGTGAAGCCATCAGATCCAAGCTTGCGGCACATCAGTTGCCCCGTGGATTCGGCTGTCATGCCACGCGGAGTGACCTGAAACGTGGAGCTTCAAGCTACTCGGAGTTGGAATGAGGCGAGTGATGAAACTAAGGAAGATAAGGTTTGTTAAAAGGCTTTAAAGGGGCTATTACCTTTCTTTTTTCATATCTTTCATCTTCCTGTCCTATCTTTGTCATTATACAACCTATACTCATGGTCTGATTGTAGTTGAAATGAAATTGTGATTACTGAACAAGGGCTTCATATTAGATGCGATATCCAAAAGCAACTGAAAGAACTATGAAGGCCGCCACCAAAGCAACTCACCCGGGAGCCCAGCATGGTTGCGACCAAAGGCCCCTTGCAGGTCCAAACGCAGGGTCTGCTTCAGGCTTTTGACGACCTGTCAACGGTGTGGTCTTCGTGCCTTTCTTGACCATGGAAACTCTGGAAGATCAGTGATGCCACCGACTTCACTGTCCAACTGCCAGTCACTCCAACTGTCACATAAAATGTCCATTGAAAAAAAGAGAGCAAGAGAAAGCTAGGAAAAGGACACCTCGTTGTTCTTTTGGTGTGCTTTAAGTCAACAAATGCTGGGATGCTTCTTTGACCGCACCTTAGGAGCCGTCTCTGAGAGGAAGCTTAAGAGACCTTCCTCGTATGCTGGCAGATACTTTACTGGCTCCTGGCAATCTGAATCCTTCCTCCCTTCTTGTCATATCCTTTTCAGATTAATTTGCGTGTTCGTTTGCCTAGTGAGATTAAATGGTTGGGAAAAGAAAGGAAACTTGTTAAGGCATGTTAAGGCTACCTCGCTGATGAACATGTCAGCATCTGGAGAATCATCCAGGTTTCCTATTGGATTCCAAGAAAAAAACTGCATGCATCGAAGATCAACGACAAACATTGCCATTGCATCGACGTCCGGCCGAGAATGTCGAGCTGAGCAGCTCTCCGTCCTGCATGACTTTCCTCTCGAGGCCCGGTTCAGCGCTCTGCAGGTCTTTCAGGTCCAACGGCACCCGATGATCTGGCGGAACAAATCGAGAACAGCTTTGGAACATCCATCAGCTTTGGGCCTAGTAGCTTCCTTGCTCCGTTCGTAGTAGGGCCAGGAGCCCCTAGCTTCTTCAAAAAGGAAGGTAAGGCATGGTAAGGCCTGATACTCTTCAATAGCACCCTTGGAAGCACTACCTGGGTATGTCCAAGGACTATCCAAATGTCCGGTTCGAGCATGTTGTTGGAGCACGTTGGACCACCGCAAGTCTGTCGAGCCTCCGTTGGCAATACGAAGCTCGATCTTCCTTTCCCAGTCTGACCTGCGCAAAACGTCACACGCGGCTGCCAAGGGTGTCACACCCTAGCGCCCAGCTTGGCCTGTTGTTGAGCAAGAACTCCTTGAACCATCGAACCTTCCAAAAAGCACCGAAGCAATAAGAAACCATGTCGGCAAGTGAAGCGAAGGCTGGAGCTCAGCGAGCTTCTTTGCTTGCTCACCCCGCGCAATTCATTGGCTAGTGAAAGAAGCCAGCTAACCTAAGGATCCCATATCTTCTCCCACCTTCACATCGTAGGCTTCCTTGGCAGCAGTTCCCGGATCAGCTGCAGCCATGACTGGCATCGTGCGTCCAGTTCCGGCAATCCACCAGCAACCGCAGGGAGTGGGTCGAAATAACGTTTGCCAAGTCAAGTCTAAGTGAGTTCACTGAACCAACAGTTACGTTTCGAGTCCAAGTCTGGATAACTGAAGTCAACACGTGTGAAATTCATTGGCACCAAACGTGTTAAGTTGGAGGCCTCAAGCCTGTTGAGGCCTAAGTCTCCAAACTGGAGCTGAATGGAGCCCGTCCGTGGGTTAGATCACTGGATCACCCTTCGCTGGCCTTCGCTTCGGCCGGCACTTTCTCACTCGTTTGACCCGAAATGCTGCAAACCGACGCGTTCTCAGAATTCGTATCCATTCCTTTTCCCCAAACATGCGACTCGCGTGGATCTGAGCAATGTCTTTTTCGGTGCCTCCTGCTGTCCTTGCCTTGAGAATCATTGAGTACTTCTGATTTCAGGTTAGAACATGTCAAGACAAAATCTGCTGCAGCACATGAAGGCCAAAGCGCTCTCATCACGACATGAAGAACATAATAATCGACCATCTTTGATCAGTCTTGTGGCTTTTCAATCTTGGGAAACCAGTACTTCTGACAAACAGATTTTCTGTCCAACCCCTTGCAACTGTGAGGATTGCATTGCAGCATGCCGCGCACACCTTACCAATTACAGTACTACCCTTCCCCCAGAGTTTCTGGCGGCGGTGTAGACAATGGCAGCACCAAATGGAAGACCTGAAATTCGGGACTTCATGCATTCCATCTACAAAATTCACACATATTTGAAGGACATTGAAGGCCGTTTGGAGGTTTCTTTCGGAGCGAAAGCTTCACCCTACCTAGAGAACCAAGAACCCCTAAAAATGTCATACCCTGAAAATACATGAGGTTTTTAAAGAAAACACGAGTTTTGTTGACTTCCTCAAAACGATACGATTGCCTATGGGATTCTACGGGTTTTCTACGGTTTTCTACGGGTTTTCTACGGTTTTTATACGGGTTCGAAACTTAGTGCTTTTGAAAATGATGTGTTCGACAGAAACACAATGTTTTTAGTCAAGTGGAGCCAAAACACGATGTTTTCCATCAGACACGACAAATTCGTAGGTTTTGGGTTCCACAGGTACTAGGAGCAAGGACGCTACCAAGGGCTCCTGGCATCGCTACTAGGAGCAAGGACGCTACTAGGTGCTCCTGGCCTTACTAATAGGAATAGGAGCTAAGGGCATCGCTTCTGGTTTGGAGGTTTCTTTCGGAGCAAAAAGCAAAGCTTCACCCTACTTGGTCTGACATTGCTGTGCTCTTCGGACTGCGGACTGATGTGCCCGGCACTCATTTCGCAGGTAGGCCTCGATGGTTTCGCTCCAGCCCAGGGTCCTCAGAGTTTAAGTAGAAGTGGATTCTGTTTGTTCTTTTTCGCCGCGGAGTTGAAGGGCCAAAAACAAAACCCTTCATAAATACCATGATCTCTTTGCACAGCGCTTGCAGGTTCTTGCAGCCTACTGTGCGGCACAGATCTACCAAGACCGCCGGCTATGTCCAAGCCTGCTCCCTGGTGCTTATAGGCCTTATAGGTAAAAAAATAGAGTATCAAAAGAAGGGCCTTGGGTCTCTTTAACAAACATGGAGGTCTTATTTTCCGAGGCCCTTACATCCGTTCGTCTCTTTTTTGTGAGTTCTGCCATGGCTATCACCAAACCTCCATTCGCTTCTTTGTCTCCGCCTTTTTCTGCCCGGTTCGGCCTTCGCCCCGACATTTGCCGGAAGCTGAAAAGCGGGAGCTCCGAACCGCTGAAGCGCGGTCAGGTAAAGGCGGTTTCTTTGTCAAATCAAGAGATGACTAAGTAGACACCTTATTTGAAGCATTGAGGGCGATTTTTTCGAGTGAACAAGCCAAGTTCGAGTAAAAGATTGAAAGCATATCTTGAACCACAAAAATCCAGCAATTCATGAAATCTAGAGCGAAAGAGGACATGCCGAATGGCTTCAGAGCGCAAGAGCCAGGAGACGGCCCGCTCCATGTCGTTCCTGTGCCTGGCATCACTGGAGCCCTGATGAGCCCTGACGAGCCCTGACCTTTTTGGACAAATCACCGTAAAATCAGCTTCAGCATGCCTCAGCTTCATATAGAAACAACATTAGACAACCGAATTTGAATTATAATGAATTATACACTCCCTGAAACTATCATTATCATTATGTTTAAGTGGATATCATGGCCCCTTGGATGACCGTTTTTCCGACTACCAAACAGGTGGTGAACTCCAGTTCCATATGTTCGAAGTGTATGCTTTCTGGAGATCAAAAGCAACCGATGATAGTGAGAGAAGCTGTTCACTCAACTTGGACCTCCGCCTTGAGCTTTGCCAGCTCGGCCCAAAGAGGAGCCAAGGCCGGGCTCGGCCAAATCGGTGCCTGTGATCTCCGCACATCGACCAAAATCTGCAAACATGTAGAAATGAAGACGAAACATGTAGAAATGCCTTTGTTACTCTTTTCTGTAATTGTGATGTATACTACTTTTTCTCACAAGTTGGGCAAGAAATGAGATTCATCCAGGTATAGTTCAAGCTTTCTTGCTGGAATTAGTTCTCAACATACCAGCAACAAAGTACACCCTCTTAACATGCAATCTTCACTTGGGTACCACCTTCCCAAGCACCCATCTCCCGGATTCTACGACCCTGTTGAGTGTGTTTTGCACACTGCCCAGACATCCTTAAAGTCGAAGACTGCTTCGGTGCAGCGAAAGAAGGTGTAGAAGAGCGAGGCCTCCTAGTGGGAACACAATCAACTCCCAGTGATTCCGAACGTGAAAACAGCTCGAAACGTGAAAACAGCTCCAAGTGGCAGAGTCACCGTGTTGCTCAATGGTGTCCCAATTCCTCACCTCTCTGCAGCGGTACGACACATTGATTCACAGTCCATAGCGTTTCGTTTCAATCGCAGCAATGCTCCTCCTGCAGCCAACCACGCTGGAGAAGCAGGCCCAGACCCTCCTTGTCAAAATGAACATGCTTAAGTCTAACGTTTGCAGAGTGGAAGAGAAGATGCTCCGGATCCCAGCATTCCTCTATTTGATTACGTTCCCTCCAAGTCACATACCAACATCGTCACAATGCATGACAATGTAACAGGCTACTAGGAGCAAGGACGCTACTAGGGGCTCCTGGCCCTACTACTAGGAGCAATGTTCGCTACTAGGAGCAAAGGGCATCGCTACGAACGGAGCGATCGGACGCTACATTCGGGGCTCCTGGCCTTACTAGGCACAAGAAGCTATTAGCCTATTGTTTCTACTAGCTTCTTGTTACTACTAGTAAGGCACCTGTTACTACTAGCGATGCACTTGTTACTACTAGCTTTCTGTTTTTCATCCTACGATGTCCTACTTACGCCCTTCTCCCGTCTGAGACTCTTTTTGGATCGGGGAGAACCCCGTCTTGTCGACTAAGCCTAAAGCTACTCCGGCATAGCATGAGGCTTGTCTTGGAGTTCACCTCTTTGCTACCAGTCTTAAGGAATTATATAGATTGTAATTTTCTGTCTTTATCCCTTTTATTCCTTTCATGTGTATGCTTTGTATTCCTTAGACCTTTAGACCTTTCTTCTTTTGTGTCCTTTCTCTCTTCCTGTCCTTCCAAGAAGGCTGCAGAATGCTTTTTGTGCTTGCCCCCATACTGCGCTCTTTGCATGTCTATCTTGTATACACCGTTGCGACTGAATCTCTTTCGCCCTTTTTATTGTCCGGCTTGAATGTATACTCCCCTCTGAGCCATTCTGACCTTCGCTGAATCCAAGCCCACACACCAGCGACGGCGCTTGGCATAAGCGCAAGTCCTCAACGAACCCGGCAAAAGTCGGTTTTTCAAACAAATTTTACATGACTCTAAACAAGAAGCTATAGTAGAAACAAGTGCATCGCTACTCGTAACAAGTGCCTTACTAGTAGTAGCAAGAAGCTATTAGAATCAAGCCTGGATTTGGTCAATTCACATCTGCTTCATGATTCGGAATAAGCCCTGAGGCCCAAGTCCTATCCAGAACCAAAGAGACTGTTGGGAGAAGCCCTTCCTGGCCGAATTTGATCTGTGTGACAGCTCGATGAGTTTGATTGGATATTCCAGAATGGTAATGTCATCGTTAGATCACCATGTTATGTTCTTTCAAAAGAGTCAGCATCATGATGCGTCATGTTCATAAACCACATCACCAGCATCATCCTGCTCCACTAGAGGAGCTTTAGAAATGCCAACTCACAACACCAAGTCCAAGGAAAGCTATTCTGAACCACTAAAGCCCAAATGTCACGAACAAGAACGCATTGCGTTGCGCCACACCAACAGGCTTGCTACCACGAACCACTTGTCTTCGTACACCGTTACCGTTGTCCTTTGTGGTCATATTGTAGCACTGAACACCAGAGAGCTGTTGTGTCTCCGTTTGCCTCGGCCAGGGTGGCGACCGCTTGCAGTGCCATTTCTGCAGCTCGGCAGCGCAGGCCCTGTAGCACCTCGGAGCCGCTTGCACGAGATTCAAGAATCTAAGAGCCCCGAATGTAGCGTCCTTGCTCCTAGTAGCGATGCCCTTTGCTCCTAGTAGCTTCTTGCTCCTAGTAGTACGGCCAGGAGCCCCTAGTAGCTTCTTGTTCCTAGTAGCCGTGACAGAGGAGAACATGAAGAAAGTTGAAGACGAATGCGACAATCCCAGCATTCTAGAATCGTAGAAAGGAAAGTTTCAGAACGATGAAGTGAAGCCTCGAAATCGTGAAATCTGCCAGGCGGCCACCGCTTTCCGTGCCATGGCAGCCTCACTCTCGCAGAGGACCAACATGGCTGAAGAGCGCAGGGCTGCCAAAGCCGCCATTGGCGTCACTGGGCAACAAAACAGACCCTTTCAGTTCTAAATGGAAAGCCTTCTTGAGAAAGGAATAATGTATACAAAAAGAAAGAAGATGGGACCAATACGGAATATGTCGAAGGGGGTCCAAGATCTTGTTCTTTAGCCTTTACACATGTTCTTATCCGTTATTTCTTCCTTTTAGTCTTTCTGTAAGCGCTTAATTCCAAGAATGTCGTGAGGGTCCTGTCAAGACTTTCTATGCCGCGACAGTGGCTAGGACCGCTTAGCAAATGAATGAGAAAGCACTTGATCATGAGAAAGAAGCCCCATGACTTGCGAAAACCATAGGCAACCTATGTCCCCACATGTCCCCACACACCATCGGTTTGGCAGACTGGGGTGTGATGGGGAGGTCATGAATTACTAAAAGCCAAAGTGGCCTCAGATCGGACTTGAATGAAGCTGAAGCTGGTTAAACTTTCCAAATTTGCAGTGAAATAAGATGAAATAAATAAGTACCACGTGCAGTGCGCATAATCTTGTCTCACTTCACGCTACTTCTGCTACTTGATCGTTGAGGGCTGGAAACTTGTGCTGAGGCGTTTGCTTTGCCGACTCGAGCGCATTTGAGGTATCTGCGCGAGTGACTACCTTGCAGTCAATTGTGACACGCTGTCGCTCTGATCCAAATGACTTGAGTTAAGCGAACTTGGATGTTTCCACAACCGCGGAACTTCCCAAAGTTCTGCCCTTCTTCACCAAGAGAGTCAAGAAGTCGCATCCAAGAAACGACACTGAGGTGCCCAGCTACAACCAAGGGGATGCCAAGGTTGTAGGCCAGCACCAGCTCGTCGCTTACTGCAGCATGACGATAGCATCGTACTTACTCCGGGAAACCCGGAAAGGTGTCTGCTTCAAAATCCTGGAAAGCTGCATAAGATTGACAAAAGGAGACATTCAAAAACAATACAAAAAAGTGCAAATGTCAGGGTCATTAAGTCATTCAGGGTATTTTTCAATCTATTTCATGAGGGACCCTTCATGAACCCTTTTTAACACACATCTGTCAATGTCATGGACTTGGCCCTGTTCGCTCCCTTCCAGCCTCTGCTTTTGGAGTCTCCCTGCAATCGGATCGAGCCGACATGTCGTGTCAGGTTTTTTTGGGCAAAGCGACGGAATGGTGTTTCTCAAGTGGCCGTTTCCCCAGGCAAAGTCAGGGGGCGAGTCTTTGAAGCGGCAACATCCCATGTCAATGGGTACAAATCTCAGCCGGTCTCAGCCGGTCTCAGCAGCAAAGCTTTTTCACAGATTGTGCAGAGCAGGGATAACCTTAGTTGCCTTAGCTTCCAGTTACCTTAGTTGGCTACATGTTGGTACAATGTCCTGCAGGTCCTGTTTAACTCGCGAAGGGAACACTGACTTCGTTCTGGCACCCCCTTGCAAAAGTTTGCGAGAGTCCGGAAAAGCTGGTCACACGACTTGGTTTCCTGCGATCCCTTTATGCATCTACGTCTACCCGGTCTACCCAGCAAATGAGCAAATGCGTGCGAACGAAGAAGTCGCAAAAAACGAAGATTGGACTTACCATGACTTACCTCGTGTCCTTCAAATCTGGTCCTTCAAACCAATTCGTGATTGTGCCTCAGTCTGGCCGGGCTCTGTGGCCTGTGGATACAAAAGAGCAAACGCGATTCAAGCGTGACCAACACCAACGCTATCGCTTGACGGCACCGGCTTCGTTCTGGCCGGTTGAAAAACATGACATGTTGAAAATTATGCAAGAACAATTTGGGGGGCCTCCTGTCATTGTACTGTATTTAATTGTCCCTGGCTCACAAGAATGCAAGCCAGAAGCCACTCAAATGCTAACACACCACGCTTAGACTGACAAACAACTTCCAGCGCAAGCATCCAAAAGTTGATTAGTCGTGACGTTACTGCTTGAGTTGACAGCGATCTTTACGTCTCTGAAAGCAGCAAAGAGGTTAAACCGATCTTTGCCGAAGCAGCTTTTGAAGTTTGAAGCTTCACCAAAAGAGGCCACATACCTTTTAGAAAAATATGCTCAATAAAAGACTGAAGAAAGGAAGAAACAAAATGAAACAAAGATTAGAGAGGTAAGGTCTCAAAGACTCATTCCGGGCATTCGCACGTCCGGAACTCTTCCCTTCCCCAATCCGCAACCTCTGGGCCCGGCTCTCGTGGCTCCTAAGGGCCAAAAGTAGAACAATTTGTGTAACAAGTGCATCGCTACTGGTAACGAGGGCATTCCTAGTAGCAATAGGAGCAGAAACTACTAGTAACCCTTTATGTGTTCCTTTTTTCTACTTTTGCATTGAGACATGACATCATCATTGCATCATGGCCATTGATGCCCTTCGAAGGCCTCTGAGATAGCTCAGCTAAGGCATTCTAAGGCTTACAAGTAGCAGCTTCGGCGCTCTGGGGCGTGGCTCCTCATAGTTGGCCAAGCGTTCAGAGACTTCTTCCCGGAGATGATCCTGTCAGGCGCAGATGATCTTCGGCCCAAAGTGAAACACCACGTTTCAAGTACGTCATTCAGAACGACCTCCGCTTGTTGTGAGAAGAAAAGAAAGCAAGCAAAGGCACTAGAAAAGATGTACAGGGATGCACTAGGAGCAAAAAGTAACAGCCTGCTCTGATTCCTCAGACCGCTCCGCTTAATCTGACACTGACGTGTTTGCTCGTTGGACTGATCGTCCCGTGCTCCAACATTGCTTCGCTACTTTGCCTGCCTGCTCCTCAAGTGGGAGCTGCTGCATCCTCAGCAACCGAAGGTGGTTTTATGAGAGTTCGCATTCATGTTGTCAGGTGTTGATACAAGTGGCTATGAAGGTTGATGTGGCAGATGTCAGTGACTTAAGTGTGTGATCTCAACAGGCCGCCAAAAAGTGCTTAAAAGTGTTCGAGGCGTCAAACGTGTAAAACAACCGGAAAAAAAGAAACATATCTAAAAACAACCAACGAGTGTGCAAGCACCGTTGATCCCCAAATCGGTCCGACGCTGCTTCACACTGTTTGGGCCAGCCACAGCTCACCCGTGAGTCGCTTCAGGATCTCCAGCCAAGTTCGCAAGTCCTACAAACATCAAGGACAAGTCCTCAACATCGGTGCCTTAAGCTAAAGTCAAACTGTGTTGTTCTTTGAGTCTCTCATTTTGGGTCTTGGTCGTGTTCTCTCTTTGAATTGTGACTGTCAGACCTTTCAATCGTTCTTTCGTTATTTTTTTGCCTTTTCTCTCTTCTTGTCACTAGTGTCTGCGATCGGCCTTTCCCATGAACCATAATAATGTTTCCCATGCATCATTTGTATTTAGAACAGAGAATCCTTCATAGACTCGACGTTGATGAGGATTGAACATGCACAAATTGAATTGGATGCAGAAAACACGTTTGAGGCCAAAAGACGGGGGTTGTCGGCTTGATCACAGCTCTTTGGCGGCCAACCTTAGTACCTTCCGCAGAAAGCCCTTGTAAGAAGGAAACAACTACGTAAAAGAGTGGATGGACAACAATGAGTCATTTCGGTAATCTGGATTTCTTACTTGGTTGCTACCAATTATATAATTATCAGACAAATGGTTTAATAGTTCCACCAATCGTGCAAGCAAACAGGCTGCTGTGTTCCAAGGCCGTTTTTGCAATTTGTCGTTGCGATCCAAACATATTGAAACACCGGTCCTCCATCATCGTACAGGGAGTCTTCAGATCTAAACAAATCAAGGCGGCGCAACGCCTCGACGCAATCCGATGCCCACGGCCGATCAGGGCCGCACATGGGAAGTCATTTTTCTGCCGAAAGATATATACCTCCAACCTAGAAGCCTTTCTTCCTAGTAGCTTCTTGCTACTCGCAGAATGTCCTCCAACCTACTAGCGATGGCCTCCAACCTAGTAGCTTCTTGCTACTAAATAAAGATATTCTAAAGACTAAAGACTAAAGATCCTAAAGTCTCACAGCAAACAACAAGTGGACTGTAGGCACGGCTTGAAGTTCTTTCTTTACCGCCACGGCAAGGGCGGCAAGGCCTGTAGAGGTGGGGAAGGGAACTCAGTCCTAAGAGTCCGGCGATAAGTCAGCCGGCTTCAGGCGCGAGAGAAGCAGCTTCTCGAACACGGGATCCTCCGGAGTGCAAATGATGCCTCCCGGTGCTTTCGGTTCACACAAATGTTGGTGAGAACAAAGAGCAACGATGTTGCAACGACAAACAAAATAAGCTACGTATGTTAGTTTGATGCTTGTTTGACAGTACTGGTGGGGTACTTGACGGCATTTAAATTTAGCCTGACAAAGTCTGATCATGAGCTTTGAGCATGTCATGCTAGTATTCCACGACATACCCAATTCATGTGATCGAAGTACCTTCATCTGATATCTCCCGAATCCGCGAGTATCTGAGCATACATAGTATCCCGAATTTATCTGAATTCGGGCAAAAGGGTGGTGCCCAAGAACCAAAGCAAGAGTGGCGAAAGTAGATGCTGACTGTAAGTGACTCCTGTAGGTGACTCTGTAAGATCCTGTTCAGAAAATGCCAAGTGTCCCGCTACTGATGAATTGGGTCTCACCCAGTCTTTTGTTGGCTGCAACTGGACATAACTGAACAAGCACTGTCACTTCTGGTGTCCTCCAGCATGAGAACCTTGGCTTCTCGCTGCACCAAAACGATGGATCATCGCTATTAGATTGGAGGCGATCGCTATTAGATTGGAGGCTATCTTGCTAGGTTGGAGGCCATTGCTAGACTAGTAGGTTCCTTAAAGTCTTTTTCTTGAGGCCAATCGAAACACTTCACTGCATTGAGCATCATTGAGCACCCTGCCGAGCAGGCGGCAGGACAATGGAAGTCTTGACCTCACCGCCCACTCGTCACCGTCCGAACCGAAACCGTCTCCAAATTCGAAACGGCGAAGTCTGGTGCTTCGATGTGCTTGGTGCAAGCCTGGCTCCGATCGTGCACATGTTCACTTGTCCGATGTCGCAGTCCTAGGCCCTAACGGCCTTTTGTCTTGTACAAGTTAACCCAATAGAATGTGAGCAATGTGTGAGTGTTCAAGGACAGGTGCACTTTGCGCATGTCGAACGCGAAGTCGCCGCTGAATAAAGGCACCGCCTGCACGCGCTTCTTCAAGTTCCGGATCCCGGGCCTCAGCGGTCGTGCCGGTGGTGCAAAGACTGGCCTTCGGAAGTTCAGTTGATGGAAATTCTCTTAAGTAATTACATCACGCTTAAACATACATGAAAAAATCACTGAAAGAGACCCGACCTTGAAAATCGACGTCTTTTTGCCTCGATCGCTTCACACTGAAACCGTTTTCATCGGCGCTTCACATGGTGTGGGCTCGAAGAACCGAGTGCAAATGCGTCTGCGGATTGGGCGACAAGTGCGGCCGCACCGCTACTCTTCCTGCGAAGAAGCAGGTAGAAATATCATCCAAATATCGAAAGAAAGGCTTTACTCATTTTGAAGGTTCCAACAATTGAGTGATTCTACTGCTGGTTGGAGGCAGGGTGTTTGTCAAGGAGTTTGTTTGATGAATTCAGCCCGGACATCAAATCAAAGCGTCTGTGTATCTGCCTAAAGCACCTGACTTAGCTGGGCTTTGCCTGACTTAGCTCGGTGGTTTGGCTCGGTCCACCAGCTGGCCTGGTCCACTGCAGTGCGCAGATATTGCGTAGAGAAACAAGAAGACGCTAAGCAATCGAGTGCCCTCCTGCGGACCAAAAATGGAATCGACTGCAGCAGCGAGGGTTGGCTGAACGGTTTTTGTTGTCACCTCTCTTCTAAGAGTGATGGCCTCCAACCTATTATCTCCAGTATTCAAAGGAGCCAGAAATATGAGATCTGTCGCGTTCCTATCACATTCCGTGGCTGACATGTTCCAAGCATGAGTTACTGGCCGTAAGGATCTCATTTAGCCATCTGACACGTTTGCCTCCTCTCCGAGACCTCTTCCAACCAACCAACTATCACACCCCAACCCAACCTACTATGTGGACGCTTGAGGGAAACGGATACCCAACATCCAGGAGCACAAGATGAGCACGGTTCTGCTTTCGCACATGTGTGTTTCATCTGGTTTTTTGCTTTTCCTTCTTTCTATCGTGCTGTTTACTTAGACTCTTAGAATCTCCCTGTCTTTCTTTACGAAGGTGCGTCCCCAAAATCGCACCTGAAAGCCGTGCGCCAAGAGCCAAGTCCCCAAGGTTGGACCCAACGCCTCTCCCAGCGCGGCCGCTGCGTTGAAGATGGAAGACCTGGTGTTGCTCGAAGACATTGGCTCAGAAAACACCCTTCAAAAGTTCAAAACCTAAGCCCTGAAAGCAAACCAGAGGTCTAAAGGTTACATGACCCTAATAGAATCAAAGAAATACAGTATAAAGAAGATTAAAGAAGTAAAGACACGACACATCAAATGTCATCATGCTTCTAGGACGTTGCAACTGACCCTTTTTGTTGAACACATATCTCCACTGTTCTTTCTACCTCTAGACCTTTTCTTTCCTTTCTTAAAAGTTCTTACATGCAAGATACACTTTGATGAAATGCGACAAGGAAGAGGTGACTTCCTGTGGCTAAGATCCCAGCACCGGTGGTGACACTTGGTGCCTTGCCACCTGGTGGCGGCGCTCAACTCTTTTCAGCCGTTGCACATCAGCGCTTTTGAGCGGTTTCCAGCACAGAAATAACCTAAAGGACCCCTTATCCGTATCCTATGATTTACACATCCGTTTGATCATTCAATGCCCCCCACAAGAACACAAGAAGTGCCTCAGGAGGGACACCGGATAGCTTCCGGGCAGCAGTCTCTACCTGGCGTTATCCCGGCCCGAAGGGGCCCCGGAACTCCAAGAATATGACATTGGGTACAGACTACCCAATTCATCCCAATTCAGCATCGGACCATACTAGGCAGCACGGGAGTCCAGCAAAGGCCCCAGCCACTACCTGCGGCTGGGGCAAGAAGCATGACGCCTCAAACCTCTTTTGGCTTTCAGTGTGGACTTTCCATGCATTGGCCAATGCAAACACATGCAAACGTCGCAGCAAGAACTCGACCAGTTGATCTGTCAAGTTTCTTCACCGGCTATTAGGAAGCCAAGCAAGTCTCACCAAAGACCTTCGGACTTTAGGAAAATGAGTAAAACGATGGATCTGCCTTTGATCTTCCTTGCGGCCAGGACACCAATCAAAAGAAGGCCGGAAACCTGTGTAACCCACGGCATGGAAGAGTGAACTCCCATCAAGAAGCAACCAACGGAGTAGATGAGCAAGCCTGCAGCGCACTGTTGAGCACGGTCAGTGGGTCGGTGAGACATAGCATGAGTCGTTTTACATCCTTCTTTGCATCAAGCAAGTAGAAGGATCAAATGAGCTTGTGGCAATCCCTTGTACGCCTTGTGTCATTCGTTCAGCTATCAAAGCACTTGGAGGCCAAAATGGACCCAGCACTTGCTGTCCTGCTGTCATCAGCCACTGTTCCCCAAGCCGATCTGCTAGAAATGGCACTGCCATAGCCCCAAAGGTACTGGGCACTGCTGACCTCAGGTTCCGTTCTGAATGGGTGCAAAGGTGCCTGAGCACCCCAGGAGGAATCCCTAGTTCAAGGCCCATATACAAGGCCATCAGATCAGGTGTTCCGGGCGGAAGATCCTGACATGTGACTGCTCCATGTGGAAAATTGTGCATTTGCATTGGCCATACATGGCATGTGGGAGACCACTTTTCCGGCGTGCAATAAAAGGGGAACGGCAATTTGGTCTGTCTGATCGCAAGAGGTGGATCATTAAGAACACACGCATCCTTTTTTGAAGCGACAGAAGGACAAATTGTCTGAATGGCACCCTGTCGCATTGGTCTCACTAGTAGCGTCCGATCGCTCCCAGTAAGGCCAGGAGCCCCGTTCGTAGCGTCCTTTGCTCCTGGTAGCCGCACGAAAAACTGTCGAGTCCAGACGACTATCCCAGGGCCCCGGACAGGGACATCAAAAAGCCGATCAAGGAGTGGCTGATGGGGCCTAGCACCTCGCGAGCGACACAGATGGAGACGATGAAAAAACAACAAACGCCGACCCGAGGAGAGTTGAAGTTTATGTGAGCGTAAACGTGAATTGAAGGTCTCCCTGCCACGTTTAGAGCAGGGTCAACTGTTGGTGGTTCAGGTATCCATTGCCGACGGAAGGTTTCAGGGTTTGGATTGCCGTTGAACACCGGGAGTAGACCGGGAGTAGGGATGAAAGCGGCTTTGAACGGCTTGATCTGTGTGTGAAGAGACCCCTTCCAGCGAGCAAAGCATTTAGAATGAGACACTCCTCGATGTGGCGTCTTCTAGAGCAGAAGGTATAGAAAAGCCGACTTGGGAGGCAGTTTCTGCAAGAGGCACCTGGGTAGACGTGGAACTGTGATGTGGAGGTGTTCCTGCTTTTACTGCCTTTTGATTGTTCAACATGCCTTTGCAATTTGCTTTGCATTAGGTGTGGCCTTTTTGCGATGCCAGAACGGGAGGGACAAGCTCTGTATTGCGCAATATTGGTGTCCAAAATAGATGGCGAAGATGCCGAAGATGCGTATATTTGAGCTCAGAATACTTCCCACCTTGACGAGAATCGTCTAAAACTCCAAAGTTTTTAAAACACGGGCGAGGCAAAATTGGAGCTCTGCGAGGCTTTCACATTGGACTGGAACACTTGGAACTCGCTTGTCTTACAGTTCACTCCAAAACCGAAAGTTTGCCAAGCCTCCATGAAGTGGTCACCTCAGCTCAAAACCCGACGGATACTGAGACCTCAACCTCCATCAACCTCAGAAGTCCTTTCAATTGTGTGGGACATGGATAGTGCAGTACCTCTTCCGCTTCAAGAGATTACACAATACATTGACATCACAATACGACATATCAGTCTCTATCTCTCTCTCTCTCTCTCTTTTCAAGCAATTCTGTAACCGCAAAGCTAAAACAGATTTGCGGAGAAACTGCAACATGCTGCATGAACGTTGGATAAGCACGGCAAATAAGCTCAGACTCCTCAAGATCTTGTGACAGGCTCTCTTCTTATGGGATTGTTTTAGTTGCCTTCGAACCTGCAGGAGGACAGCTGTCTGTCCACCTCAAACCATCCAAGGGGCCCAGCAAGGGCTCGAAACCTCCCCAAACACCCAGGCATAGCATGCTGATACCCGCCAGCAGTAGCAGCCGCACTGTGGCCACGGAAAAGACCGTAACCTGACAGCTGCGCTTGATTGGTGCGATGTGAAAGGTGAAAGTGAATGTTTCCCACAATGCTTCACGTCCTATAGCTGAATGACCTATAGCATATAGCCAAGTTACATTGGGATCTTCTGCGTTCTCGGTCTCACCTGCAAACTTTGTGACTCCTCATGGTTTCAGGCATTTCAACATCTCGACGAAGCCTTCCATCAAGGGCTCCGCAGCAGTGCTTGTTGGGCCAGTACCAAGAAAGGTAATCTGGGGCGAACAGGTAACATGTCGTTGCAACATTTCGTGTGGGAACGGAGAGATCCGCAAACAACGGTACTAGGAACAAGGACGCTACGGGGCTCCTGGCCTTACTACTAAGGAGCAAGGGGACGCTACATACGGGGCTAAATAAAGCTATAGAATCTGCAAACGGCCCTCTGACGAAGTTGTATCAACTGGTGAGGGCTGATCTTCAGGACAAGGAGCCCCAATGAAGAGCAGGTGCAGGCAGGCACTCAACGCAAAGGGAGCCAGGAAACCTGCAAATAAACTCTCCAAGTCCTGGAGTCAACTCAATGGCCTCCAACCTAAGAGCGATGGCCTCCAAATAGACTCTCCAAGTCCTTAAGTCGACTTAAGTCCTTCAGAATTCAAAAATATCCTTGATTTTCCGGCCTCCATACTGGTACAGAACGCCTGAGCTGGCAGCGTGCGGCAATGAGAGTCTCATAGAAGAGTGGCTTCGCGAGGCTTCGCCAACACCAGAGGCTTCGCGATTTGGTTTTGCAACCTTTTCATACACTCTAATTTTGCCTTTTTGAAATTCAAGAGCCTACGCCAGAGGCTTCGCGAGCCTTCGCCACACATAATGTATCACACAAATGCCTTCGCAAACATTTGGCCAATGAAAAATGCTGCTCAAATGTTCCCAACACAGGCCCAACACACAGCCCACCATTCTCCGTTCTGCCAAGGATCCACCAAGGAAGGGACCAATCGTCACACCAACGTTCCCAAAGACTTCCTGCAATGTGTGGAGAACGACATGCCAAATCAACACTTTGAAGCCAAGGCTGCCTGTAGGCCCACCACCTTATTGAACTCTCCGTCACCCGTAAAGCTCCGCGCAAGACGTGTGCCTCAGCTTGAGGAAGAGATCTGATTCTGAAAGAACAACTCGAAAAGAAGCCCCTAGTAGCGTCCTTGCTCCTAGTAGTAAGGCCAGGGAGCCCCTAGTAGAGTCCTTGCTCCTAGTAGCGATGCCAGGAGCCCCTAGTAGCATCCTTGCTCCTAGTTCAATTTTGCGCTCGTTCGAAGAGAGTCGGCAAAGCTCGAGGGGCTGATGGAGGTGTAGATAGGAGCCGTAGCAAGGCCTTGCAGCGATCGCCAAAACAGCCAGCCTGCACGAAACAAACAAAACACCGCAAGAAAAACTTTACCTTAAACTTAAAAGCATTTTGAACGAGTCTTTGCCAACCCTGGGACTTTGGCTCGGCTCTCATGCTGCTGCAGTTATGCTGGTGACACCACAAATTGAGAAGAATACCAAGTCGCAATTGTAGAAGCTGGGACATAACAAAGAAGACAATTGATTTTGAGAGATCCAATGTCCAATGTTTCGAGTTGCGAGAAAGTTTCTGGACAAGCGGCAAAGGCAAGCACAAATCGATAAATTCCATTGCAGTAAACACACGATTTCTCATATGCTGCCTTCAGAGTATACATCCCACAACTGTTCAATTTTTTTCCAGTTGCTGCTACACCTGCCCAGAGTTCTATTTTACTGGGAAAGGGATTATGATTGAAGGGTGTTCACATCAAAGCCTACGGTTCACCAAAGTCACACACACACACGTTTTACCTTTGTGCACAAAGAAGCCTATGAACGTGAGTTTTTGGTACAAGCTTGTTGGCTTTACAACATATTCTGCCAAGCCCAAACCAGGAATTCTGCCTGAAACTGAATCACAAAGGCCAAAGCCCAAGGAGCTGATGGCCAAGAGGAGGAGGCCACTGTTGAGCATGGCCTCCACTCCAAACCTTCGGAGGCCGTCGCGCCCATTCTTTTCTGGTCTTGTTTGCTAAATAACCTTGCAACACGAACATGTGCACAGCACTCAATCTTGAAGACTAGGTGTTGTTCTACTCACAAGACTCAATTGACCGAGCAGATTCACTGATGACCGAAGCAGGATGCCTGCTGATCATGGAGCCCATTGCTAGATTGCCTGGCAGCGCTACAGCAAATTCGCCGTACAAGTACGGTATCAACGGTTGGAAAGTAATGACATAAATAGGAAGGGGATAACTCTCATCGCCAATATCCAAACATGAAATCAATAACTTTCAATCCAAGACTGTAATCCCTGTGGCTTTGAGATGAATGCACACACAAACTTGTGAAAGGAGCCTATAAAGCATGCAGTGGGCATGGCGCCGAAGATCAAACCCACAGTGCTGGTGCTCGCGTGACAGGTCTGCCACGCATAAAGCTGGAAGAAAGGACTCATCCTCAGACGATCAAGCCGTTGAGTCATTCAGCCTAGCCTCCTACGTTCAAGTGCAGATCGGGGCGATCTCTCAAAATCGAGCATCACCGTGCCAAGATCGCCGAGGCACTGCCCTTCTGTTGGCCTTCGTAAAAAGACTAATAGATATATACTAGTAGCGAACATTGCTCCTAGTAGTAAGGCCAGGAGCCCCGTTCGTAGCGTGCTTGCTAGTCGCGATGCCAGGAGCCCCGTTCGTAGCATTCGCCAGTTACTACAAGAAATAAATAGAAGCTACTAGGAACAAGTGCATCGCTTCTAGTAATAACAAGTGCCTTACTAGTAGTAACAAGACGCTACTAGGGGCTCCTGGCCTTACTAGTAACAAGAAGCTACAAGTAACAAGTGCCTTACTAGTAGTAACAAGGACGCTATTAGGAACAAGTGCATCGCTTCTAGTAACAAGTGCCTTACTAGTAGTAACAAGAAGCTATTAGTTAATTCAACTTAATTCTAATAGCTTTTTGTACTACTAGTAAGGCACTTGTTACAACTAGCGAGGCACTTGTTACTAGTAGTAACAAGGACGCTATTACCGTGCCAATATTCTGGTAGATCATCGCCATAGACAGAAAGTAGGCACCGAGGCATGTCACAAGGACCACCCCTCGCTCGCCACTCCACAAGCTCGCCATGACCCAGATGGAGTGTTCCTAATAGCTTCTTGTTACTACTAGTAAGGCACTTGTTACTAGAAGCGATGCACTTGTTCCTAGTAATTAGCTGTAAAGGCCTAGGATTTGGAGCAACTTGCTTCAACTTCTTTGCAGCGTGCTTCGACTTCTTTTGTGCTCCTTTCTGCAATGGTTATTTTTCTGCATGTCTTTTCTGCTGAAAACTCGGCACCCGAGATCGGCAAGCCCTCTCGGCAAACGTTTTTCACTCCACCCTTCAGGGCTCCAATGACACATTAAAAGGCACTCGCGATGATCGCATATGTTCCCATCAAGTGGAGTCTTTGCTGTTTAAAATGCAGCAGAGTGTGATAAGTGAAGCCCTAACTGTTCAACTGGAAACGATTGGAAATTGACTCCCAAGGCAAACTCTGCTAGTTACTGGACACAAATATCGTTTCTGATGAATGTGATTGCTCGAATCTTTGGAAACGAGAAACCACATGCGTGTTATGTATATCTTTTTGGCTAAAGCAAAAAGCTCACCGGCAGGAGACAAGTTTGGCTTGCTTTCGGGTGTGCCGAAACGCGTCTCTTCAAATTCATATTCTGGATTTTAAGAGTAAAAAGGTACGACGAGTTCTAGGTACGACGAGTCCTTCACAAATGCAAAGCTCAAGTCTGCACAATGCTCCTTCGTCTGCTTGGGGCTTCCCACACCGAAGTGTGCAAACTCCAGGCCTTGTGGAAAGGCAGAACTCGGTCGTCGTTGTTTTCGGCATTTACCATAAAAGGATTTCCCAAGGAAAGGCACCCAACACTGGGTTTCACGAGATTTTATGGATCTTAGGCTTCCGGCCCACAGCACGGCTGTGCTCAGTCACGGTCTTCAAGGCGGCTTCGGTGTTGGCTGCGAGTGGGCATGCATGTTGATGCAAAGCCTGAAGGCAAATAGCCAAATAGCTGCATGGCTTTCGACCCACAGCTTGTTGAATTATATACCATATGTCGCCTAAGATTGTTGCAAACCATCCTGCATGTATTTGCATATAATATATATATATATATATGATGCTTTAAACTACACGTGTTGCTTGCCGATTGATCTCGCCTGAACTAGGGAGCGTTTGCCGATTCCAGGGCCTCAATCCGTGAAGCTGGAGAGAATGAAAGCTCTCTCACGTTCCGCAACCACCACCCCTGCGACTGGTCCAACCAGAAGCATTTTGTGTAGGTTTGCGTCTGAATTATTCCAGAACCTCACAGACCATCTTCGAACATGTCTCACTCAATGACAAGAATATGACCAAACAAACATTATGAAGCTCTTAAGCAGAAGTTCTAGGAAACCGTTACTATCAGGTCATTCTCGAAGGAAAGCTCTCAAAAACAGGACAAGAGTGCGACCGAACACTTGCCATGGACTAAGATGAACTCAACTGCCCCATAGCCACTCCGATCTTCATTGGGTAAAAAGTCTTTTTCGTCTTCTTATTCTTTTTCTTCGACCTTGGGACGAGACTGTTGTCGTCCTTTCCGTTGTCGTCCTCGCGTCGGCGCCCATCCAAGGTCTCCAGCGGCCCAGGCACAAGACCTTCGCGTCCGGCGCCCGTGAGAGAGTGGCCTCGGCATTGGCACGCATAGAAGCAGAATATATACAGAAGTATGCAAATATAAAAGCATCATATACAATCATATATATATATACATTATATTTGTAATGTTACATATACTTATACAATTCTTGGTATGAATAAGTGGATGTGCATTGTTGTTTCACCTTGGTGACATGTCATTTGGACAGTTTGTCATCGCGGTGGCGGTTCAGAGAAGCTGGTGTGACATTCTAGACCACCTGTCAAGATCCGACAAATCAACCTCCATCTGACTTTGCTGTTGCGGCAGGTCACACGAAAGCAGTTAATGATCCTCCAATGGACAGGAAATTGCTTGGAAGGGAGTGCGACGAAGAGTTCGTCGCAAGACATTGCTCTTTTGTGCCGATTGCCAGATATCATGGATAGCTAGTGCTACCTGGTAGATCGATGTTACTTTGCAGTTGATTCATTCAAGTCTGCTTTGTGGCATGCACAGTGTGCACCCACAACCCACCGTCACCCGCCAACCTCTCCTGGTATGCATGATGACGATAAGGACATTGACAAAGGCATGCAGTTGGGGGCATAATAAAGCTTTCTAGTAACTAGAAGCTTCCTTGGGAATCGTTTCACTTGGAATCGTTTCACCTGTAGTAACAAGAAGCTTTTTAGTATGTCTTTGAAACTTCTATGTGCAATTAATTCCTTTACTGCAAAGCTATCCATGCCTTGTCCCTCGCATCCCTCGCTAAGACTCAGCTGCTTCTGTAAGGAGGCCCTCCCAAATACCTGATGCAACCAGTGCCAGAGGCTTCGTGCTTCAGGTCTTTCAGCACTGTCTGTCTGATCACAGAACAAGTTTATCGCTGCACTAGCCAACCTGGGTTGAAATTATATAAGTCTGTCACCCGAAACAAAGACTCGAACATACATACTGTAAAAAAAACACTTAAGACACATGTGCACAATCTTCAGAGAATGTCAAAAACTCGACAAAGAAGTCGAAGAATCAATGACCGCCCGGAGAGACAAAATGTACTTAGTAACTCTTAAGAAGCTACTAGGAACAAAGGGCATTTCTACCAGGAGCAACGAGGCTACGAACGTAGCTCCTGGCCTTACTACGTAGTAATAAGAGGACGCTACTAGGAACAAAGGGCATCGCTACTAGGAGCACGGACGCTACTAGGAACAAAGGCGGGCAATGACCTGTCTGACCTGTCCAGTCAGGCCTCGGTCGGAGACTGCAATGCTTTTGCTTCGAGTGCTCCTCTTGGAGTATTGACCATCAGCCTCACCGTCCGGATGGGAAGACACAGAGCCAAGGAGTTCCAAACAAGAGGCGATGACAGTCGTCATGCGTATCCGTCGCACAAAGCAAATGACTTCTCTCATGCTTCGATTCCATCGTCCAAAGCCTCAGTGATGCCTGTTCTGAATTTCAGTTGTTGATACACCTTGTTATATGTCCTTGATTTCTTATCGTTGCTGTCTTATCTTTCTATTTCCTATCCATCTTCAGGCTGACCGTTTACATAAGGCGTGTCATGTTTCCGATTTGTCTGGTGCATCGCCCAAAGCCCGAATGAGGCTTTCACCTTTGTTCCCATTGCGCATTTGCTGGCAGAATCGAAACCGGCGGTCCGACGGTGCAACGGTGGCGCTTCTTTTTCAGAGTGACATCCTTCCGGACATCGTGTGGCTTTGTAGCATTGAGAGTCATTCTTCGTGCTGGATATGTCAATCAGTTGGTCCTCTTCCAGAATGGAGTATAGCGACGGTCTCATGGTTCTGAAGGGGCGCCTTTGAGATTGACAAGTTGAGGCAAAAGCTGTGAATGTGCGTCCAGGCATTCTGATTTTTGAAACAATAAATATTGATATGCAAATCCTCGCGAGCCCATCACGCAACATTTCAGAGTTAACTTCTTCGGGTTGGAACTCCATGCTTTCCAGGTACGAGTTCTTGAAGTGTAGAGGGACTAAAGTTTGCCGAAGTCTTCCAACCGGTCAAGTCTGTGAAAAACAACCCAAGGTTCAACCACGCTTATTCTACCTCAAAGCATCAACTTGCAATGGTACAGTGACAAAAAGCAAAAAGCGTTCATACTCCGGCAGGACATGTTGTGATCCTTCACTTCGTTCTACTCCATCACGCATGACATGATCAAAAAATAAGGTTGCAGGTTGCAAAGCTTCTTTCACAGGTCGAGCACATATGGCAAATGACACTGTGTTGGGATACCCGTGAATCATTCATAGCCCGCTAACTGCTCCTAGTTGAAGGAAAATTTGGATTTCTGTAGACTATAGCAAGCAAAACCTACAAATCCAAGCATGAAACACTATCCACAGAGATCCCACTGTAGAGTAGAGTTGCATTGGCATGCTCACAGGGCTGGTGGCTGTTCCACTTTGCCCTGGGCCATCCTACCTACTTGCTGGAGCAAATTCACATCTCACTATGGAACCTCCGAGCCTATCACTTGACAAAGCTGGAAGTGACATCAACTAAACAGTCAAGCAAATCAGATGAAACATGAAGGTGTCAGGCTCTAGATTATCGAAGTGTGATGCTAATCTGTGGTGAAAAGGTTGTGTCCGGAAAACGGTGTTGCAATGTGTGTCGTTTAATATGATTTTCCTCTTTGAACTTTGCTTTTCTTCCCCTTTAAGCAATACATTCCCGTCCGCTTTGCGATGACTTGATCAACTCCAAGCCTTGAAGTCCACGAAGGCGCCCCAGCTGAGGCTCAAGCTTCGTCCAGCGCTGAACCCTCCGCGAAATCCTTCACGGACCGTGTGCCGTGCCATAGCCCCATGTCAGCCCCATGTCTCCAGAAAGGTCAATGCTCAACCTACAAGTACGTCCTTCCCGGATGAGAAGACTAACAATGTTCCCCAAGTACTTGCTTCAATCATGCGTTTGGGAGTGCCTAGGATTGCAATGCTGGCGTTGGCCAGGTAACGTGTTTTGATCTTCCTATCTTCCTATCTCGTTTGCTATGTCAGCAAGTCACACCAGCATTCGATGCTTTTGCGTCGTTGTGCGATTCTGTCCTTCTCATCTCGTGATTTCTCCTCGTCCATTCTTTCTTTGGCAAGTGCTCTCATCTCCTCCAGGCTGTTTGATGTTTCACCACATTGCTCTCCAGTCACCTCCAGCGCAAGGATCTCAAAGAATACGTCGTAAATGTATGAGAATCCTGTCTGTTCCACCACACTCTAGAGTCTCTACGACTTGTCAAAATTAGAAGGGAGAGTAAGAAGGAAGCTTTGTCAACTTCTTGACTTCGTTCTTAGCATGTTTGCGTGTTTGCGTGTCTCTTAGCATCTCTTAGCTCAACATCCTGCGGACCTCCGGGGCAGACACACCGACATTCGCTGGGGACCTGAGCCGTTTGGTCTAGCCAAAAACCTTGGAAACGATATGGCAACGAATCTCCCAAATCCACCGTTTTTGGCCGAGCCTGATGCTTGCTGCGTTCACTTAAGATGCTCCCAAGATGCTCTGTGACCGAAAGTGGTGCCGTCTCCCGAGCCAGCGCTGCCTGCAGATCACAGGTCTGGCACAGTCACAGTTGCTTCACTTCTTGAAATGCCAGTTGCCAATGGCAGAAGCTGAGAGTTGTAGCACAAAACACTTTGACCTTATCCCAAGTTTTGGTTAAGTCAAGTATCGAAAGTTTGCTCATAACGACGATCGGTCTTTCATAAGACCAAGTTGAAACCTGTGTCTCAGCAAAGACACTAAGAACATGTGAGAAGGCTTGTAAGCTTACATCACCTTGCACCACAGGAAGTGATGGCCGCTATCCCATGTGGCTCAATGGATCCCCATCCAACACTACTAGTAGCTCCTGGCATCGCTACTAGGAGCAAGGACGCTACTAGTAGTGTCCTTGCTCCTAGTAGCGATGCTAGGAGCCCCTAGTAGCGTCCTTGCTCCTAGTAGCTCCAACATACACTTCTTTGAGCCAGGCCCTAGCCGTTGCTGTTGCTCGCCTTGGCTTGAAGGCCTGGAACAGCGCCGACGGCACGATGCCGACGGCACGGCGCTGTCTTCGGGTCATTTCGTGAAGCGTTGACGCCTTGCATTGTTGCACTTGACAAGTCAATGATATGCGTGGAATGAAAAGTATGTGACTAATTGTGTAATGTGATTCGATTGAATGAATCCAGAATGGGACACCCCACTTGCGTCGCAAGTGGGGAAGTGTCGTGAGGCGAAATTCCTCATCTGGGAAGCTCATGATTGCAATAATGTGATGTGCCGATCGATGGCAAAATCTGAAACCCCGTATAGCCGCTAGCCCAATCATCCCATACTTTAATGGTCTACTACGTTTGGTGGATAACTATTCAGAATCTATACGTGTAGCAGTGCGCCATAGTGCACCTGTTCCTTAGTTGGAGATCCGCCCATAATTGGGTCGAGAGAGGCAAACAGACCCAAAGGGAGAAACCCATAAGGAGGCCCATAAGGAGCAATCTCGCTCCCTTGCCCTGGGGGAACCACCCTGCCGACCCCCGTTCCATCGTGCCTTTCTCACAACGAGCTTTCAGCTTTGAACTGCGGCGTGCAATGTGTGTACACGTTTGTAAAGTTCCAGTCAAAGTCTGTCGATTCCCGGATCTTGTTTGCATAGTCTGTCGACCCTTGGGCTTTGAACCAGACCAATCAGAATATAGACTTACTTAGAAAGAATGCTCCTAGTAGTACGGCCAGGAGCCCCGATCGTAGCGAACATTGCTACTTGCCAAAAAGAGACTGTCGCTTCCAACTCCCCACCTTAGGGATCGTTCCATTGGTGGCGGACTCATCAGCTCCACCATTTGCTGCTGTACCTGGACGCCCAGCGGCGCTCGGTTCGCGGAACGGTTCGGAACCGAGCAAATCGGATGCTGGACTCGTCACACGTGCTGATACATGTGTGCCCAATGAGCAAGAAGCACAGCAAGACTGAAAGTTCTCTCAACCTGAGCCAGGTAAGAAACAAGTGAAGAAAACTTGAAATAAGATTGAAGATCCAAAAGTTTGGACCGAAACAACCCCACCCCTCTCCTCTCGGCAATGACTATATGTAGATTCAATGGATAACGAATGTGGAGAATGTTGAACGTATCAACCTAACCTTGGGGTTCAAGCCAGGGCAACTCATGTGCACTCCTTTTAAAACAAAGCAAGGATCGAAAGCAAACATAATTCATAAAAGGACCGTTTCATCGTAGCATGCCGTATCTAAGATTCGTGGTGTCCACCAAGATGCGCCAAAACGTCGATCGCCATCAAAAGAAGGGATCGCTAAGACGTGTTGAGCACAATGCCAAGTATGCAAGGAAAAGTGTTGCGCACGTGTTCCAATAGCTCTGCCTGAGCTGTGACTTCACTCTGCATTTGTGCCAAAGCCAACCGCGTCACCTCGCTGAACGAACGGTGCGCTTCAAGTGATGAGTCACCGAGTCCACCAAACTATGGGAGGTTGACATCGGTCAACCAGGGTGGTGTTGACCCACTGTATAACCAATATTGAAATCGATTATACTGTATACCTTATAACATCTTATACCTATATAGCAAGATCCTCTTCTGTTTGTCTTTCCTTTTCTCTTTGTTACAATACCTGTCGGCCCCTCGGCCTGTCGGTCATACCCTATACAGTATCCAGTTATGAGCAACCAGATTGCAACGTGTACGTTCGATGACTTCGTCACATTCGACGAGCCTCTAGGCGCTCCTCGCATGCCGCTGCCTCTGCCTGAACCTGCCAAATGTCAAACATCGATAATTGATGACGGACAAGATTCCATGTGCTTGTCAAGCTTTGGTGGAATTAGAACTCTAAAATAAAATTGCCAAAAATTGGAAATTCAAGAGGCTGGATCGTCCGTCACGGACAAGTGACCAAGATCTACAATTAGTTACACCATACATAGCCCAATCTTGTTGCAAAGTAAGTATGATACTTGACACTGAAATCAGCATACGTAAGGTCCACTGTATCCACCTACACGTCAACCTACTTGCCTCCCAGTTGCTGAAGCGGTGGCATTTGCTGTGACCTGCAAGATGGAGCACGTCGACGAACAGTTATTTTCCTCTGCGCGCCATGTCATCGAACGTCTGACGGGCTCAGTTGATGCCTCGCAAATGCAGCTCCAGCTGCTTCAGGTCAGCGAATGGCCTCGGGGTAAGACAGCAACTGCAAAAATCTAGCTTCTTGTTACTAGTAGCGATGGCCTCCAGCCTACTTGCGATGGCCTCCACCTAATTGCGTCCTTGCTACTAGTTAAGACTATGTCGTGGTCTTCCTAACACTCTTGAAGAGAATTATGCGCAGTGGCCTAGTCTTGGTACTCTCCATGTAAAAGCTTCTCTTTTGTTGCCTCCTAAACCATGGATCCATTGGTCCATACAGAGTCATTGCACAGACGTGTGCCGCAAGGAACAGAAAAACACGTTTCTCATTCTCAATTCACAATCAAGGAATTGTCTAAATCTGAATTTCTTAAGCTAGCTTCCCTAAAAATCTAGGAACCAAATCATTTAGTGCGAACGCTTCTTCAAGGAAGCTTCCTTGAAGAAGCGCGAGCTGTCCTGCTTCCTGTCGGTAGTAGCTTAAGTAACTAGCTACCTCCTAGCGGCCTACCCCCCCAATCCCCTGCGGGCTAAAAAAATAACTCCCAAAATTGCAAACTGAAGCACTACAATTTAAACTAAATTAATAGCTTCTTGTTACTACTAGTAAGGCACTTGTTACTACTAGCGTGGCACTTGTTACTAGTAGTAACAAGAAGCTATTCTACACACCTGGAAAGGACCTCACTCATTCCGAACTGCACCAGTCATCTCACCTCCCCTTGGGCGCTGCGCTCCAGTTGAAGTGCCTCACGCAAATCTCACTTTCGGACAGAATGAGTGCAAGTCACACTGGCAACAGCTTGGAAGGCGTCAAACGGTCTACACATGCCTGCACAGTGCCATCTATCTACACATCTCTTGGGCCGCCTTTGTTCCATCACCTGGAATAGTGTCTCAGGCATGTTCCTTTTAGGAACAATCATGAGGTCTTCCGGTCAGCTTCTCATCCTTCGTCCTCTACGGCAGACTTTGGACTGGCCAACCTCCTGTTGGTGGAGGCACGTTGCTCTCGCAAAGAAATTTGAGCTCACTTGGATCAGCATCATCGTAGATGCTCTTGCCAGCAGAGCTCAAATACGTCCAAATCTCTTGCCGGATACCTTCAGTCAAAATGTCAACACAAAATGTTTCGTCCCATATCCCGGATATCCCTCTTTACATCACTAAACAATGTACAGTATCGATCCTTTTAGTCCTTCCAACGCAGAAGTTTCAAAGCATGGCCGGGCACAGGATGCAAAGGAGTGTGGCTTTGTTCCACGCGTCAAAGGTTTTTCAGAAATCTTGATCATGAACCAACACAGCCACGGCCACACAAATTCAAGATTTAACCAATAGACTTCCAGAGGTTCGGAGACAAGTGTCCAGCCTCTCAGTGTGCCCGAAATAGCATTGATTACCAACTGTTCTTCCCTGGGTCACCTCTGAGGCATGACAAAAGGGGTTATGATTCATCATATCCAATGAGCACTATCCCATTCCAGCTTGTTCAACCTGCGCAGTGTCACCTTGCCCTGCATCTTCTGTTGGTATTGGAGCTTCAAGCTTTGTGTCTTTGTAAGTAAACAAGTGATGTTCTGGGGGCAAGCACACAGGACTCCACAGGACCTATCCTCTAAGCCAAGTGCAGCTTTAACGCTCAAAGAAGTCTGGGTGGTGTTGGACCTGCTTGAGCAATTTAAAGAAGGGGTGCGAGAGGTGTATGTGCCCACTTGTGTGAATGTTTTAGTGTTTGAGCCCACATGTCATCCGTAGCTGCTTGGACTGCGAGATCGTGAAGGTCAGAGTGGGAGGGCCCTTTCGTTCGCGTTGTGAGGCACCACATCCCAAAAGTTCTTGGAGACCTTCTGATCCCTGCGGATCAGTACAGAAGCAGGGAGCATGAGGAGTTGGAACGGAATATATAGAGATATCAGTGGTGCGATGTTTGCAAGTTGAAGCTACAAGTACTGTGGGGATTTCACAGTCAAGGTTCGATTTAAGTCTGTATTATAAGCATGCAAAATGTGTTGTCATCCAAGTGCGATGATACCTCTTTGCATTGTTAATGCATCCAAAGTACATGGCCTGAAGTTGTAATTCTGGAAATAGCAAAGGTGTGCCTGCATAACGCCCAAGCGCCAAACGCCAAAAACAGTGTAGAACATGACCCTGAGCTGAACATGGAGATGTCCAAGCCAGCTTGGGGTGTGATTCCATGCCGAGCTCAAAGGAGTCCATCGGATCATCTGGGATATTCACCCGGCACGTACGAGCACGAACGAAGCAGCTACATACGAACGCCGCAGCTTCAATCAAGTGGTTTTCCGTCAGCGAGCTCCAATGACGCAGTGGGAACAGCCCGGTGAAAACTCGTGCTATGCTGTGGAGATGCAGGAAATCCACATCTTTGACAACAATGTCCACAATAAGCTATTAGTGCCTTACTAGTAGAAACAATAAGCTATTAGTTAATTCATTTTTGTTTAATTCTAATAGCTTCTTGTTACTACTAGTAAGGCACCTGTTACTAGTAGCGATGCACTTGTTACTAGTAGCTGTAAAGTCCTAAGTTGTTCCACCGATCCCGAACAAACAAATCAGCGAGGCTGATTTGTCGCCTGATCCCCATCGGTCAAGAACTTGGCGGGCAAGATCGGAGCTTCGTTGGGGCCAAGGCGTTGCACCGGCACTTGTGCCAGCATCATGGAATTCAGCAAGACCTTGGTGGTAAGGTAAGTTACCATGTCAGGCCAAGCAAGAAGCCCGGCACAGCCCTGCACAGTTTTCCTGCACCCTTTGAGTTCAAGATCCCACACCCCCACATTTTAGCTGACCCCATGGTCGCTCATGCGCCGAGGATCACTTTCTGGATTCAACGGTACATTTGTGCGTTGGCGTTGGACATCAACCAAGCTGTCGAAGGCGAAGCGCATGAATTGCAAAGGCATTGTGAAATATCCCAGCATGTTTCCTGCGGCCGATGATTTGATGTAATAACCACAGATTTCCAAAGAGAATCTGATGATTCGATTGTTTTGACTGCCATTCGAATGTTTCCCAGCTACGTGCGATCACTCAGCCGTCTCCTGTCCCCAGAACGATGGCCCCTTTGTCGTTGAGGCCATTACAATCGGCGCAGCTTGGCGCATGCACCCCAAAGGAATCAGGCAGCTCGAAGGTTTCCAGAATAGCATCGTCGTCACCTCGCACTCTGGTGCCCGATGTAACCAGAGGCAGCAAAATGGGAGGAATCCGGGTGTAAGTTCCAAAATCAAAAAAGAGATGAACTCACAGGAACCCGGTAACCTTGCGAACATTATTCTGGCATTGTTCGGGTTCCACCCGCCAAAATCGAGAACTCAGTCAGAACTTTTTGATGCTCTACTAGGTACATCAGCTGAGGACGGTCCGGCTTTCTCACTGGGTCCCAAAGTCTATGTCGTTGAACCAGCGCTTTCCCCGAAAATGAGACAACAAAACCTTGAGGACTCGTTGCTCAGGCAAGGGGCGGAGTCGGATCGCAACATCTGGCAAGATCAAATTGTTCATCAACTCCCAACAGCGTTGCATCGCTTCCCACTGCCTGGGGCTAAGTTGAAACACTTCGACCCTGAGAATTGAGTTAAATTAAGTGGTTTCTGTTTCATCCTTTTAAGTATCATCTATCATTGTTACAATTCACGCGTCCGGTGTGACTTGGACAGCAAGTGGGCGACGTGGTCTCCTTTGGTCACCAGGGTTCAGCAAACTGCAGGACTACTCCTTGAATGTGCAAGTGTGTTTTTCCCCACATGCTAGTGCAGGGGTCTGGTCTACACTGTAATTACCTGCCATCTGAGTAAGGGTGAGACTATGAAGAGTGTGGGGGTCTTACTTTCTCTCGTGTCTTCCTGGCGACCTCCTCCTTCTCCTCCCGCCAGTCTTCCTAACTTACACTCACTCACACCAACTTATTCACACCAACTCACTCACACCAACTTACACGCATCGGAATATATACACGCCAACTTAGTCACAGCAACTTACACACACGCACACACACCAACCTCACCCACACCACACACCAACTCCCACACATCAAGGCATTCACACCAATTCACTCACGCCAAAACTCTCACACACCAATCCGTCCGCACCGAAGGTGCTGAGGCGTTAAGCTGTAAAAAGTCCGTTCATCGCCACGGCGTTCATCGCCGTTTGGGGCGAAAATGCATGTTCTGCATCAGGAGCTGCGTCGGGGAGACGAGCGGGAGTGGTTTTCACATATCATCTATGCCTGACAATCTTTGTCATTTTCGTATCATTTGCACCACCACGGCCATGAAAGGCAACCCAACGACTCCACTCAACCGTCTATGTCTGAATGTAGCTTTCATGATTGCATCATATGCATCAACTGGTTGCAATGTGCAAACTGCAAACTAGTATAATTTGGACTCTGGACCCCATTTCATTTGCGTACGCCAAGGGCAGTTGCCTGCGGCGCGCCGTGCATCTAATTTCACGCTAAGCCCACCGGAAACGGGTGGTGGACCCCACCAGGGCAAAAGCAAGGCCACTGTTCTTGCGCCCGATCCAACCAAATAACAGGAAGATAAACCCAACATGTCGGTGCGTCAGGATATTCTTGCGGCACCAAGGCCATTCCTAACCCACAACTCATTTTCACTTTTACTGACAACCTTTGCTCCTTCAACCTTCGCTTCTTTGGCTTCCACGGCTCCAAAGAAATTTATGCTCCATTCCACTGTCCACCAAGTTTGTGTGTTGCTGAAGATCACCGTCTCAAGCTTTAAACTTCCGCACTGAGCTCTTGGTAGCTGAAGGTCACCGTCTCAACGTGTCAAGCTTTGAGTTATCACTTTCTCCGGGCTTTTGTGTAGCCGAAGGTCACAGTCTCAAGCTTGAATGTTCAATTTCATTCCAGGGGGTCGAACAATAGATCCAACAATGTTTGCAATGTGCAAGTAAGACATAACTAAACAGTGTATCAACGGGCTGTAAAAAAATAGAGTAAAATATTCCCTACTTCTGAAACCCTCTCTCTCGAGCCTCTGGTGCGGGCGGTTGTCGTCGCGAAGCGACGTCAAAATACAAATATAAACGTATATGCTGCTCTGCAGGGAGTGGGAGTCATCATGTCATTATTCTCCATTACACCAACCTCTCACCCGACCAAGTTGGCAGCATTGACCGTTCGAATGACGTGATCAGCCATCCTGATATGAGGCAAAGACATCTACAAAACAAATGAATTTGATAATTCTGTATAAGTATTCATATCTATATTAAAGTCTATATCCAGTTGGGGCGGTTGTCCCCACACCTACAGCTGCACGTCGTGTTGATGTTGTCAAAACAGCCCCACAAGACTTCACTCGGGTCCCTTGGCGCCTCACGTGAGAGCGAGCGCGTTCCAGCGCTCCCTCCAGTGCTGCTGTCTGGTTCAGTGCCCTTAGGATGGCAAATTTGTGCTGTATGTCAAGCTACTTCTTAACGTCATGATGATGGAGTTCTGTCCCTCATCATCATGATATATATATATGTATATATGTATTCTGGAATGAGGTGCACATATCTCTGAAGGCTTCAGATGAGGCTCATCCCTGCGGCATAGCGTGGATCTATCGGAAAGTCTTGGGCCATGAAGGGATCAAAAACCACAGACACACCAGAGGGGAAGGCATCCACAGTGTCACTCAAACTCTGGTAAGGCCCTTCCATGATGGTGAAGTTGCCAATGCGTTCCTCAGAGCTCAAACGTCAATCACGACGTCTTCAAAGTTTGGGATTGCCTGCCAAAGCTTGCTGTGTGCATGAACTTATCACCTGGAACCTATGCTACCAAAGCACCCCTGCACCACGGTGAATAAAGGCGGTGTTGTTCCGTGGGTCAAGGACCAAGAGAACCTAGCATGGTGCGACGTCCAAAGTGATATGGCTTTGCAAGAGAAAGCTATGCAAGTTGGCAATGCTTAAGACTCTTTTGCGCTTGTGCGGAACGAACACGGCAAAAGCATGATGCGCTGCCGGATTTCCTATCAAGGAGTTGGCACCTACCCAGGACCTTGCAAACAAAAGCCAGGGGTGGAGATTGTAGGGCATGCGAAAGGCTTGGCAGGGGCTTTACATGCTTGGCATTGTTGGCAACTATCGCTGCACCTCCACCCGAGCGCCACCAGCCATCAATGGAAGGATCAAGCGATTGATCTGGCGCGAAAGGATTTAGACGAAGATCGAAAGTCTACTACAACAGCTACTATGCTCGTCTTACCCTTGCTGTGCTCGCATGTCTTGAGGGTAGTAGGATGTCTACAAACATCTGTAACTTCAAGCTGCAGCAAAACCATTGGCCTTTGTGCGGAGCTCCAACCGACGGATCTGACCCGTGATGCACAAAGAGATTTTCTTCTGCTTATCCTCAGAAAACTGCCCACCAACAGAACAGTGTCGTTTCGCAGCTCTGTTCCTATTTTACAAATCCCAAGCAAAACCATGCCTTGCCAATGCTTTGTAGTGGCACAAGCCGAGCTAAAGCTTGTACTGTCAAACTACTGCAAGATATAGCATGGGTTGCAACACTATCAGGCAAAATGAACATCAATGGTAATAGTCTGTTTGATCATCAAACAATTCTTGTGATGTCTTATCGGAGAGAGATCTTCATGTCTTAGAGCTTCTAAACCCAACACAATCATCGCAATGGCTCAATGGCTCAATGGCTCAGAAGACTTTAAGGAACCTAATAGTGATGGCATGTGATGGCCTCCAAATTCCATGCTACTGCATCAAAACAAAGGCCCGCGGCTATTGCTTTACCCATGGTTGCTGTGCATGGTCAGGCCAGGAGACATGTGGAGCATCAGCATCTTCTGGGTCTTCACCTTGGCTGTGAAACTTAGTAATTACCAGAGACATCCAGAGACACTTGCTTTCTCCGCGAAAAAGTCACTCTTCAGTCTTCAAGTCAACTTCAACTACCTCTTGTCAACATTCGAGTAGGTTCTTCGTCTTAGACTAGGGGTCGTTTTAAATCTCTTTTGGCCTGACGAAAGCTGCTCAGTCACTCGTCCGCGTCACGCCCTTGCCACTGATTCGAGGGAATGGGACGTAGTGCTCAGGAGCCGGAGCGCCCAGAAACATTGCAACTGACGTGGTGTTCAACGTCTGCGGCTCAAAGACGTTGATCTCCTAACGAAATGCAAAACAGAAATTGACAGAAATCAAAAATCTGAGTCGGACATATATTTACACAATCAGTGCCCCACTCTACAGGTCTCTTCTGGAGATGTTTGACTTATAAAGTGACTTGATGAAGGCTGGAAGTTCCTTTTGCATACAAATCGTACACTTGTCATCATTTGTCTAGTGATTTGTCTCTTCTTGTGTTGTTTTGCTGTTCAAAAAGCACAAAGTTT